TTAATGGCTGAAAACAAACGACTTTTACATGAAATCAAGTGTTTATTTGAATTGAAAACACATTTAATTAAAATTCACTCAAAATATGAAACACTTATCGATTGTGAAGACAAACAACACTTCAGACAATTGTCGCTACGATTGGATCAATTGAGTGACAAACAAACGCATCAAACAATTGAATCCCAAAAACCACAACAAAAGAGAGTCTATAAGAAGAGAAAGACATCAGAAATAGTAGTGAAACGAGAAGACAATGATTTTGGGGAAGAAGTGGTCACTAATAATGAAGACTCGGATCAGACAAAAGCGACCCAAAAGAAAATAACCAAAACATTAGCAAAAGTAGTCAAACAAACGGCAAGTGATTTGAATGACAACACTATCACCGCTAAAGACACGGGTGAGGACAAGTCGTGGACGCCATCGACGACGACAACTACGAAGAGTGGCTACAAAACCGGACGACGGCGTCGACCGAAACACACCTACCGTTTACTAAACGCGAGGCCCTATCGATGCGATCGATGTGACTATCGGTCCAAAACTACATCAACTCTTCGCGTCCACCAATCGTCTCACGACAACCCAATGACTGCAGCCCAACGGCAACGACGGGCCGACATTGAACGCCGGTGTCGTATAGCCGGCACCGGTCAGTACAGGTGCGCCGAAATTGGTTGCGGCCGAGAATACAAGGATTACGACGCGATTCGGTCCCACATTAAAGGGGTTCACGAGACTGTGCCCACACACGCCTGTCATTACCCCTCGTGTGGCAAAGTTCTCAAAACCAAACACAGCTTAAGCGTACACATAACGCAAGTGCACACACGGGAGCGCCCGTTCCGGTGTCCGCACGATGGGTGCGACGGCCGGTTCCCCAATCAAAACCAATTGGATATACATATGAGTGTACATCAGACGGAACGCCGCTTCCGATGCGATCACGAGGGCTGCGGCAAGAGTTTTAAAACTAACATTCATCTCAAAGCCCATAAAGTCGGGCCTGCGGACGGTGAAGTGCACTGTCGATGGCTGTGACGCCCGCTTTTTCAACCACCACCAGATGGTCAGACACCGAGTGCTCGAACACGGCTTTGAGCGGCGCGTTAAACCCAAATCGTTTGCCTGTCTGTGGCCGGGATGTGACTACCGGACCACTAATAATCATATACTGAGTTTGCATCAAAACACTCACACCGGCGCCCGTCCTTATCAGTGCCAATGGCCCGATTGTGGCAAAGCGTTTCCCATTCCCAAGAGTCTTAAGGATCACATGAATATTCACAATAATCTCAAACCGCACGCCTGTCATTGGCCGGGATGTCAGTACAGGTGCGCCAATACAGGCAATATTGCTAAACATTATAAACAAGTGCATCAAAAGTGAATAGATTATGTATTAAGAGTTATATTAGTTGTGTTTTGTATTTAATTTGTAAATTAAATTTTATTTAAATTAAATTTTTAATTATTTAATAAAATTGATAACAATTTGAATGATTTAACAAATTGATGGCAATTAATAGAAAGTCCCCTAAAGTTGTTGTCATTGTTTTGAATGAGTTTTTGGGTTTTTATTATTATTTTATGCCTTTTAATATGTTTTGAACTAAATTTTATAATAATTTATAAATTGTGATAAAAATTATGGTTTTATTGAGAGATAAAAAGTGTTTGAAAATCAGTATAAATGATATTTTGGATGAATTAATGGCTGAAAACAAACGACTTTTACATGAAATCAAGTGTTTATTTGAATTGAAAACACATTTAATTAAAATTCACTCAAAATATGAAACACTTATCGATTGTGANATTTGAATTGAAAACACATTTAATTAAAATTCACTCAAAATATGAAACACTTATCGATTGTGAAGACAAACAACACTTCAGACTATTGTCGCTACGATTGGATCAATTGAGTGACAAACAAACGGAGCAAACAATTGGATCACAAAAACCACAACAAAAGAGAGTCTATAAGAAGAGGAAGACATCAGAAATAGTAGTGAAACGTGAAGACAATGATTTCGGGGGAGAAGTGGTCACTAATAATGAAGACTCGGATCAGACAAAAGCGAACCAAAACACAAAAGTAGTCAAACAAAGGACCAGTCATTTCAATGACAACAATATCAACCCTAAAGCCACTGAAGAGGACAAGTCGTGGAAACCATCGACAACTACGAAGAGTGGCTACAAAACCGGACGACGGCGTCGACTGAAACACACGTACCGTTTACTAAACGCGAAGCCCTATCGATGCGATCGGTGTGACTATCGGTGCAAAACTGCATCAGCCCTTCGCGTCCACCAATCGTCTCACGACAACCCAATCACTGCCGCTAAACGGCAACTAAGGGCCGACTTTGAACGCCGCTGTCGTATAGCCGGCACCGGTCAGTACAGGTGCGCCGAAATTGGTTGCGGCCGTGAGTTCAAGGATTACGACGCGATTCGGTCCCACATTAAAGGTGTTCACGAGACTGTGCCCACACACGCCTGCGATCAGCCCTCGTGTGGCAAAGTGTTCAAAACCAAAAACGGCTTAAGCCAACACATAAAGAACGTGCACAACCGGGAGCGCCCGTTCCGGTGTCCGCACGACGGCTGCGACGGCCGGTTCTACAGTCAGAGCCATTTGGACGCACATCTGGTCGTACACCAGACGGCGCGGCCCTTCCTATGCGATCACGAGGGCTGCGGCAAGAGTTTCAAGTCTCACATTCACCTCAAGTTCCATAAAGTCCGTCACTCTGGCCAACGCACGTTCAGGTGCACCGTCGATGGCTGTGACGCCCGCTTTTTCACTCACAAACAGATGGCCAAACACCGAGTGCTCGAACACGGCTTTGAGCGGCGGGTTATACCCAAATCGTTTGCCTGCATGTGGCCGGGATGTGACTACCGGACCGCCAATAATTATTCACTCAGTTTACATCAAAACACTCACACCGGCGCCCGTCCCTATCCGTGCGAATGGCCCGACTGTGGCAAAGCGTTTCCCACTCCGAAAGGTCTTAAGGATCACATGAATATACACAACAATCATAAGCCATACGCTTGTCATTGGCCCGGATGTCAGTATCGGTGCGCCAATAGTGGCAATATTGTCAAACACTATAAACAAGTGCATCAAAAGTGATTGATTGCACTGTTTTTGTTGTATTGTTTGTGTAAATTGTGTTTATTTAGATCACTAAACTAGTACTGTATTCTTGTAATAACTTGTAATATAAGTTTTGTATACTTGTAATTTACTGCATAACTAAAATTTATATTTATTACAATTGAAAATTTCAGTTATAACTAAAGACTTGACATATATGTGGTAATAAGCCCAAAAATATGTAATATAATATGTGGTAATAACTCGAAAAATATGTAATTATATGTGGTAATAAAATACCTAAATTTTGGATTTTAAATTCAATAAAATGTGTTTATTTAGATCACTAAACTAGTACTGTATTCTTGTAATAACTTGTAATATAAGTTTTGTATACTTGTAATTTACTGCATAACTAAAATTTATATTTATTACAATTGAAAATTTCAGTTATAAGTTATAACTTATAAGTAGTATTAAATATAATAAAAATCAAGTTTTATTTAAGACTATGAATAACGAGGAATGGGTGTTATGCCTAACCTTTCAAACTGTTGCCGGCGCTCAATATAACGGCCGTAATATATATGTGGTAATAAAATACCTAAATTTTGGATTTTAAATTCAATAAACGCTTTAAAATTTTATATTTAACAAAAACTATGCTAGATAACCACAAATATACTTTATTTTACACAGTTTTCTTAATTGAATTATCAGAAATAGTATAAACGTAAGTGAAGTAATGTATTTCTATGAAAGACTCAAAGTTGTAATAACTTGAAAAGTTCATATCATATTTTGACAAACTATATACCAAATTGTTTGAAATAAAATATGACTTGAGATGTATATCAGGATTTTTCTTGTAAATAAGGTGAATATGAGTATTGTGGTATAAAGTGATAAAATATACACAATTGTAACTCTTTACCATTTAAAATCTACATGTTCAATTTTAACAATCAGGGTATCAAATTGTTTGTAATTGAATGATACAAAAAGTAATTTGTCAGATTTTTGATTTTTTAATTATGACATCTATAAATCGATATAGAACAAATAGCTACCTAATTATTACAAAAATATTTTTAATTAAATGCCAAACATTTATCTTTAATTTGCAATTGATTTGATTAAAATATCTTTTGTACTTTTTGAATAATAAAAAAATCAAAACACGCGTTAATGCTTGAACACACTGTACTATTTCTGATAATTCAATTGTAATCATCGGAATTAATGTTTCTAAACTTATTTTAAAAAGTATAAATATAGTATACGTAAACATAAACTAATTTTGCTTATGAATACTATTGGGAATGTTAGTTTAATAGAATAAATTAACATTTAATCCAAAATTATAATTATTTTGTTTTGAATTTTGTAAAACTATTGACAAAATTGTATATTTTCCATGTATTCCATTGATTTCCCCAAAATATGTGAATATATGTGCTAACATTCAAAATATGTAATTATATGTATTTATGTAATAACAAATAGGTCTTAAAATACTCCTTATTATCTGATTCGGATAGATCTTTAAGCTAGAGTGTTATATCTCTTACCAAAAATATATGTAAAAATATGTAAAGTCAAGTCTTTGGTTATAACTTATAAGTAGTATTAAATATAATAAAAATCAAGTTTTATTTAAGACTATGAATAACGAGGAATGGGTGTTATGCCTAACCTTTCAAACTGTTGCCGGCGCTCAATATAACGGCCGTAATAGGTATCCACTCTTTTCTATAGAGATTAATAAATTATAAATTAATTAAATTAAAACAAAACACATATTACACGAGTACTAACCATAATATCCCGTTTATTGCCTCCGTCTGGCACTTCATTAATGCAATACAATATCATAATACAAGTCATATCCATAATTAATGCAAAGAATTTTGTTTCCCTTAAGAGAACATCCATTGAATTCTCGGGTCTATCGGCGAACTCTTTGCCCCAAATTTTCACCAATTCGTCCAAATAGTGGCCCAAAAATGTTTGGATCCACTGATCGTCGGCCAAAGGCAGGTCTTCGCGGATAAAGAAATTGCTGTCTCTCCCGAACTCATTGACAAAGAAACCCAAATCATAGCCGCGATAAAAATGTCGGGAATATTCAAAATCAATTAACACCACATTATTATCACTGTTTTCATTGACTTGATTAGTAACCAATATATTTGCGTTAAATATATCGTTATGTGAGTAAACTATTGGCGATTTCAAGGCATCCAAACATTTGTGTAACCATTCGTTCTCCTCTTTGAAATCATATTTCAACAGATTCTTGGCCTCAATCTCTCGGATCAGTTGATGTAAGTCTGGTATCTCTTTGTGAACGGCATTATAAAATGTATGGAAATGTGTTTTACACCACTCATAATCACGAGCTATCGGAACATTCAATGAATGAAATTTTGCCAATTTTTGAGCAAATTCTTTGACAATCAATGGATTCAAGTAGTCTTCGGGACTCATGTGGTGACCCTTTTAGGCGATAACAAATAAATTAAAATAAGTTTTCTATTAAAATTAATTGCATTATAATTACATTATATGATTACATACATCAATATATTCGCCAACAATGCCTTCGCTGAACATTCCGTACACTTTTGGTCCTAAATTGTGTTCAGAAGTTAATAAATTGATGATAATATCAGTCAATCTCTCGTTGGATTCATTCGGATCTGTAATCCATTTCTTGCCATAAAATCTAATGAACACATCCTTAGGTTCACTGGAGACCACATTTATATCATGTCTTAGAGAGCATCGAAACAACAGATTAGTAAAACCGCCGCCAACTCTCTGGACAACCATCTGATCCGCAGTTATATCCCTCCAAACGCCGTCCAAATATCGGTGACAAACGTCCAGACATTTCCTCTCAATGTCTTCGGGTGTCTCTCCTCTGAAAATGTCTGTCATATTGTTATAACTTTTAAAACAAACTAAATTTTAAGTTATGAAAAGTTATTGTGGTTTGTCTTATATACAGCAAAGTATGCAATAATTTAGTAATCAATACCAGTTCAGAGTGTACTGACAGAAGTGTTAATCTAATTATGATAACATAATCTACTCTACCCTACAGTACAGTAAAACATGCGATTTGCTAATCACTATCAGTGTGTTTACAATAAGGTACAGAAAATAATGGACTCAACTTTACTTTAACTTTTCAGTATTAAGCAAATGGTACAATAGATTATTGATTAAAAGTGTGTTTCAAACTAAAATCACTGTATGATAATAATAAAAATCAATAATACTTGATAAGCATAAATATTTTAAACAATCTCAAAATCAAACTCTGAAACAAGTAGTTACTGTAAATATTGTGATAAAAGTAAAAATTTCAAACTTATTTAAATTAATGAATAAATCGTGTTTAATTTGATTATTATAAAATTAGGGTATATCATATTTATATCTAACATTGACTTTATAAATTATTATTTTATTAATAAAATGATTACAAATAAAACATCTAAGTTGTTAAATTATCTTTTTTTTTAAATTTTTGTTAATATTTTATGTATTTTTTACTGACTATGGAAAAAATAACATAGTTCAATATAAATTAATTGTATTATATTCACTGTAAAAATTTTAAAACAAATTGTTTTATATTCTACAATCAAATTAATTGCTTAAAACTCTTTAAAATGGTACAGTTAGAACCAATTATAAAAAAATGATATTTTATACGAGTTGTTGATTTACTCAATCGACAAACATTACAGCAATTTTTGTTATATGTTTTTGTAAAATAGTCCCAAACAATTAATTTCGGCTTTCATTTAATCATTTTAATTATTGGTTGTTTTTACAAAAACCTATTATACGTATTTGTATACATAAAACACATCGCATAATTTAGATTTGTAATATTGTCTAACATAGATTAATTTAATTAAGATTAACATAATTTAATAACTATGTATAGCGAGGGATGGGTGTAATGCCTTGCATTTCAAACAGTTGTCGGCGCTTAATATATCGACCGTAATAAGTGTCAATCTTTTTCTATAATAAACAAATTAAAAAATTAATAAATTATTATAAAACACAAATACTGACCAAAATATCCCGTTTATCGACACAATCGGGCGAATCATTATTGCAATGCAAGAGAAAAATACAAGTTTTAAATTCTAGAATTAATGTAAAAAATTTCGCTTCTCTTATGAGAACATGCATTAAATTCTCAGGTCTTTCGGCGAACTCTTTGCCCCGAATTTTTACCGATTCGTCCAAATAGTGGCCCAAAAATGTTTGGATCCACTGATCGTCGGCCAGAGGCAGGTCTTTTCGGTCAAAGTAATTGCTGTCTCTCCCGAACTCATTGACAAAGAATCCCAAATCATAGCCGCGATAAAAATATCGGGAGTATTCAAAATCAATTAACACCACATTATTATCACTCCTTTCATTCATCCGATTGTTAACCAATATATTTGCGGGGAATATATCGTTATGTGAGTAAACTATCGGTGATTTAATGGCATCCATGCATTTGTATAGCCATTCGTTCTCCTCTTCAAAATTATATTTGATTATATTCTTGGCGTCAATCTCTCGGATGAGTTCATCCATATCTGGTATCTCTTCGCGAACCTTAGTATACAATGTATTAAACGATGACTTGTGTCGATCATAATCGCGAGCCGTCGGGACATTCAGTAAATGAAATTTTGCCAATTTTTTGGCAAATTCTTTGATAATCGCCGGATTTAAGTAGTCTTCGGGACTCATGTGGTGACCCTTTAAACCAATTAAAAAGTATTAGATTTTGTATATTCTGTAAAAATTAATTGCAAATAAAATGCAATTCTGTATAAAGTAGTAATTACATCAATATATTCGCCAACAATGCCTTCGCTGAACATTCCGTACACTTTTGGCCCCAAATTGTGTTCAGAAGTCAATAAATTGATGATAATATCAGTCAATCTCTCGTTGGACTCGTTTGGATCTGTAACCCATTTCTTGCCATAAAATCTAATGAACACATCCTTTGGTTCACTGGAGACCACATTTATATCATGTCTTAGAGAGCAATGAAACAATTGATTAGTATATCCACCGCTGACTCTTTGCACAACCATTTGATCCGCAGTTATGTCTTTCCAAACGCCGTCCAAATATCGGTGACAAACGTCCAGACATTTTCTCTTAATGTCTTCGGGTGTCTCTCCTCTAAAAATGTCGGTCATTTGTGTTTGACATTAAAATTAATACTGTATTACATAAAAATAACGTTTCAATCAATTCACTTATACAGTATACGGTATACTTATTAATGTAATCAATGAATACTCAAGGCTTTAAGATTTATTAGAGGATTACCAACACTAGTTTATAAATAATATTATTATTCAATTAAAACTCTAAATACACTCATGGACTATGCTCATTGACTCGTGGTTTATCAAGTAATTTATACAGATTATTGATTTATTAATTAAAGCTTAATTTTGGTAAAAATGGCAATGATTTCTAGGTTAGAGCTGAATACCCCGGTATTACAATTTCAATGATTATGTGCAATAATTATGCGTTGCATTTATTAATGGTAAAATTTAATAAAAACATTATACTGTATAGTAAATGACAACCGTTAATAATTAGCACAATTGCCATTGTCAATTTGACAAACATAAGTTGTATTACTAAATAGTCAGTAATAATAAAAAATTTAATTTTATTAAAATAAATTAAAATTTTCAATAACTATTTGTGATTGGCATCGATCTCTCGGATCAGTTCAATATTTGTTAGAAATAATAACAGGAATATTGTATAATATATAAACAGTTACGTATAGCGAGGTATGGGTGTAATGCCCTGGCTTTCCAGCTCATCCCTGCGCTCCATCCAAATCTCGTAAAATTTATCCACTTTTTTCTGATCATAAAATAGCAACGATATAACTAATTAATCAATAATCAACTAATAAAAGCATAATGATAACAAACAAATACTGACCAGACATTGGCGTTTATCCACACAACCGGGTAAATCGGGTGAATTATACATGAATACAATGTTAAACATCTCGGCCACTAACGTGAAAAACTTCACTTCCCGTAACAGATAGTCCATCTGATTCTCGGCCTTCTGGGCGTACGCCTGGCCGTGGATTCGGACCGATTCGTCCAAATAGTTGCCCAAAAACATACGCAACCACTGGTCGTCCGGTAGCGGCAACTTTGGCCGATCGGTCCAATTGATTGTGCGGCCGAAGTCGTTGGCAAAAGCGCCCAAATCGAAACCCCGGTGCCAATAGCACGAGTACTCCAAATCGATCAAGGTGACATTCGTGTCGCTGCCCTCTCGGATCTGATTGGCGACCAGTATATTGCCGCAGAAGAGGTCGCCGTGAGAGTAGACAATTGGCGATCCGATGGCGTCCACACACCGGTGCAGCCATTCGTTCTCTTCCCGTAGATTGTGGTCAACCAAGTTGTGTGCGCCCACCTCTCGCAGCATTTGGTCCAATCCGGGCGTCTCTTTATGGGCGCCGCCGTAAAACTCCTCAAAGATCCTGCGCTGGCGATCGCGTTCCCGAGCCATCGGCACCCGTAGGGCGTGATATTTGGCCACTTTTCGGGCCAATTCACTAATCAATAGGGGATTCTTCTGGTCCTCGAGACTCATGGCGTGACTCTATTATTGTATTAATTAATTTTGTTTTTAACTAGTCTTTATTAAATGGAGTGATAATGACATACATGGATGTACTGTCCAATCATACCGTCGCTGAATATGCCGTATATCTTGGGTCCCAAGTCGTGCTCCGACGCCAACAGATTAACCATAATGTCTGAAAGCCGTTCATAAGACTCGGTGTCGGGAATCAGTTTTGGTCCGTAAAATCGGACGAACACATCGCGGGGTTCGTCGGCCACCGGTTCGGCGCCGCCCGTCAAAGAGCACCGGAACGTAAGGTTTGTGAAACCGCCGCTAATCCGACTCACACTCAGCTGATCCACAGTTAGGTCTTTCCAAACGCCGTCCAAATATCGGTGACAAACGTCCAGACATTTGTTGTCAATGTCTTCGGGTGTCTCTCCTTTAAAAATCTCTGTCATATTTGTTGTAAACTTTTTTAACAACTAAATGATAATTAAATGTTTTGATAAAGTTTTGGTTTACTGTTATACTCTCTACCAGAGCTTTATGGTGTACAGCGATAGCCAAGCTTTGTTCCCAGACCTGGGCGCTGACATTTTCATAACATGTGTGCGTTGCTGAGCAACACAATACAACTTTTGTTGAAAACCGTTGAAGACAGCAAAAGTTGTATTGTGTTGCTCAGCAACGCACACATGTTATGAAAAAACCTGGGCGCTGACATTTTCATAACATGTGTGCGTTGCTGAGCAACACAATACAACTTTTGTTGAAAACCGTTGAAGACAGCAAAAGTTGTATTGTGTTGCTCAGCAACGCACACATGTTATGAAAATGTCAGCGCCCAGGTCTGGGAACAAAGCTTGGCTATCCCTGTACAGTACAGTAGTAATAATCACTATCGTTACTATGGTATCAGTATATGTGGCACTTAATCAATCAATTAGTTTAAAGTGCATTACATTTAAACTAAGCCTGTCCAATGTGTTTTTAGTATATCACAAATACAGATTCACAGTATGGCATAAAAAGGTGGCGCAACGGTCAGTAAAAAAGTTTAGGTTTGTCAGTATTAGTAAAGTAAAGTAAAGTAAAGTAAAGTATCCTTTTATTGGAATCATTATCAGCACTGCTGGTATTCTTAATAATCCAATTACATTTAGTGTTTTTATATACAATACATATTTGATATATTTCAAACATTTCATTACAAATACATATCATATAACATATAGTCTATATTCTACTGTTTGTGTGAAGCCGTGTTGTGTAGAGCATGTTGTCTGTATGGTATGTGATGTCATGTAGTGTCGTTCGAACTGTTGGCGTTCTCATCGATTTCATCTTCGATTGCAGACCAGGAGCTCGTATTACTGGGAGTCGAACCCCCATCCTGTAGGCCCGGGAGTGCTAATGATAGCTACAGTCTAAAGGTTGCCCCATAGAAAACCAACTCTGCGCCATCGCCGCGCCATATAAGCATATTATAAGCATATTAAGCAACAACACCACGTGAAGGTCAACCTAAATGTTTCTCACCCATTTTTATAGTGGTTGGCTTTCAGTTTATCCACAAACGTTATTTGTGTGTTTTACAAAGGACATGTTAATGGGTTCTGG